TAAGCTCCCCCAGAGTTCTGGTTACCTCTGTTTGACTACCATAACTTGGAAATCACGCGGGAAGATTAATCTCGAAATTGGCGATTACTTTTAGTTTGATGTCGGACATAGGTGTAATTACTGGATGCACAACGACAGGCACTGTGGAATTTAATCACTTGCGAATGTTGATCTACTTGTAGAGTTAGGACTGTAGTCATCCATCAAACAACATGGCTCCCATATCGACACACGGAGACATTTTAATATTTCAAGGTGCCATTGCCACTCTGTAAATCTATGTTGTACACAGGTTAGGAAATATTTACTCAAGTTGGACGGATTGATAAACTTTGCCGGAAGTCGGTGACTGGCGTTTGTCTTTGTCAGGCTTTGTATACAACTCGAGTTCACTAATCAAGTTGAAAAAGTCATCCATCAAGGAATATGAAGGATGGCATTACCAGTTTGTTTACATATTTGTTTTGCAAGATGATTACTGTATTTGTAAAAATTTCCAAAATTGTTTTTCAAACATTTTTTAGTTTTGGCTTGCAAATTTCTACTTTTTTTTTCAGTTTGATTGCAGACCATTTGATTACTTAATTTTCTTGTGGACAAGTCTTTTTTGTTAATTTTCAAGTGTATGCCAATGTTTACTGCTCAAGATTACACAGTTTGTCAGAGGGAGTCAACTCTGGTCATATCATATAAATCCTGTGTTCCCAGTATCTCTGAAAATTCAACAGCCAATCAGATGGCATCTGGAGCATTCCAAGACAGTGGTGACCATTTGCTGGGCCAATAAACATCAAATCAAGTTCAGTCTTGCAGGCTATTATACACCATGTATTTCAATATTCATTTTGGAAATATTGTCTTAATAAGTATGAACTGAGATACTTAGATCAGTAGTCTATGTTTTTGATTCTCTCCACCACCTGCATATTTAGCGATGTTTTTTGGTTCTTACCCTCAGCCATTTTAATGGAAAAAACTATGAAACAAGTACAAATAAAAGCTTTGTCAGACCATATTACGTTATTAAAAACTATTATGATTAATTGTCTTTAAATCAGAAATGTTATCAGGAGAAAGGGACAGAGTATGAAGTTTCTAATTGTTTATATGTGTTTGATGATCAGTATTATTATGAAATTGATGGAGAAAATTACATTATTTTTTATCTGTTTTTCTGGGGGTCATATTTAACTTTCAATGATTAGGTTTGAATTGATTTATGTGCAATGTTGGCAATTTCCTCAGACGTAGGCAGCATTATTTTGTCAGGTTGATAGTCGACCCATTATTTTTGCTTTTCCGCCTCCAACTTCCAACCATAACAGTGCATTAGTATCAAGACGACGGGGCAATGGTTGTGTTTGTTCCCATTCCAGACAATAGCAGTTTATTCTGTATTTATGATAATTGTTACATTTAAGGCTATCTCTGTAATAAATGTCTTGTATTCTGTAAATTGAGGCCCAACATGACACTAAGTGCTTTCTGTCCATTGTCTTTAAAAACACAAGCAGGCACGGCCATTGTTTTACTGAGGTACCACTAGGGGGTCACAATGAGCGTGTGTTTATTTCGTCATAAAACAAATAATTGTTCCAAATTGCAATGAGGTTTGGGAATGATACGAGATAATTACAGACAGCCCCAACTTGAGGGCTATTGTTTTGTGGGGGTGAGCAGAGCGCAAGTGTTTAATCACACATAACATTGGTCAGGCAGGAGAACATGAGGACGTGTATTACGACACTCCCGATTGAAATTCAGTTGATTCTGGTACAAAATCAGACATAAAATCTTTTTGGGATGTGCCAGTGACAGCTTTTGTTACTTGCCAGCGCCTCCTTTTTCTCCACAATTCAGGAATCTAACTTGGTTTTGGAATTAATTTTTGAAAAAGTTACGATGTTGCCGTGGCATGTCACATGGTTTAAATGTCTTATTTTCTCAGTATTGATGTCACTATTAGATGATACTCTCTCTCCGTACTTTGTGTAATCACATTAGCTACATTTCCCTCATGGTTCTTATGAGGCAGCGCCAAAAACATTGCCAATTCCAAAGATTGAACGATAACCATGACTACCAGAGATTTTATTGCATGGTCTGTGTTACACCAGTTAAGCTGTCCGATTCCTTCTGTAAAATAGACAGTGTAAAGGGTCAGTTTCAATTTGACCAGTTTGGATGAAAAATGATACATTTGTGAGTTTACAGGAAATGAGTATATTGTTTCAAGTACCAATCAACATAAGAATATTGTTTTTGTAACATCGTGGAGACCGTATTAGGCTACATTTTCTATCACATGCTCAGTACCACTCTATTCTCTATCAGGACCTCAGCTTGTCTCAAGTGCAGCAGGTTATCCCAGTTGTTAAAGTGTTCGCTCATCACACCTATATTGCCCTATGATAAATCCTATGGTGGATAGTCCCTGTCCCTTTACATACCTTATAGTGGATAGTCACTGTCCCTTGATATACCATATAGTGGATAGTCCTTGCCCTATGATAAATCCTATGGTGGATAGTCCCTGTCCCTTTACATACCTGAAAAGGGGATAGTCCTTGTCCCTTGATATACCATATAGTGGATAGTCCTTGCCCTATGATAAATCCTATAGTGGATAGTCCCTGTCCCTTTACATACCTGAAAAGGGGATAGTCCTCGTCCCTTGATATACCATATAGTGGATAGTCCTTGCCCTATGATAAATCCTATAGTGGATAGTCCCTGTCCCTTTACATACCTGAAAAGGGGATAGTCCTTGTCCCTTGATATACCATATAGTGGATAGTCCTTGCCCTATGATAAATCCTATAGTGGATAGTCCCTGTCCCTTTACTAACCTGAAAAGGGGATAGTCCTTGTCCCTTGATATACCATATAGTGGATAGTCCTTGCCCTATGATAAATCCTATAGTGGATAGTTCCTGTCCCTTTACATACCTGAAAAGGGGATAGTCCTTGTCCCTTGATATACCTTATAGTGGATAGTCCTTGTCCCTTGATATACTTTATAGTGGATAGTCCTTGTCCCTTGATATACCTTATAGTGGATAGTCCTTGTCGCTTGATATACCTTATATAGGATAGTCCTTGCTCTATGATAAATCCTATAGTGGATAGTCCCTGTCCCTTTACATACCTGAAAAGGGGATAGTCCTTGTCCCTTGATATACTTTATAGTGGATAGTCCTTGTCGCTTGATATATCCTATAGTTGATAGTCCTTGTCACTTGATATATCCTATTGTGGATAGTCCTTGCCCTTAGATACACCTTATAGTGGATAGAGCTTGGTCTGTAATAGGCACTAACTTGTTAGTTTATCGATGCCATGCTTGAAGTCCTCCATCAATTGACATGTGTTTGTGCTTGACCCGTTCAGCGCCCATCACTGCTATTAGTAATAACAGTTGTCTGAGATAATCATGCTACACACACGCTATTGGAATAGCCCATATTGCCTCAAATGGGGGAAAAAATGATCAATTTGATAGAACTATCTCTCTATGCTATACTGCATATCCGTATTTTCCAATTCCCTAATGCATAATTTTATTATATATTTATATCCGCCTGGTGGTTTCAACAAGTCAGCAATCATATTACGAGAGAACTTGAACAATTTGAGCTTTGCACCATATCCCATGTCAATTGTGTACATCTGTTCATTCAGTGTTGGAAGTTTGCGATGGCTTTTATACTGAAAATGAAAAATAATCGATTTCAATTTAGACCACATTGAAATAAGAAAACATATTGTTTGAGTCATCAGAGATGTAGTGAGTTCTGATGATATGGAAATCAATGCGACTAAAGCAGGCAACTCTCCCAGCTCTTGCTCCTCACTATCAGGCTATGACTTGGCTATTGACGAGACTTATGGTGGCAAGGACATCCAGCTCACTTTGAAGCAGATGACCCTTGTCCAGCATCCCTTTATGTGTTCTTTCTGAAAGAGGGTCTTTGAAGTAGCTGTAAAATTAAAATAAAACTTACGTAACTCAATAAACTGATCTAACCCATTAGAACGCAATAATAAAAAAATACAGGCGACGCATGTTGTTTAAAATTCCTTCGCAGAGAATGGTATCATTGGCTAGGTCTGACAGAGTATGGATCTGTTGTCTCATCTGTTGGATGTTTATGTCGAACTTTCAGACTTGCTGGAGTCTTAGTTGGTGGAATAAGATGTCAAGGTGCACCTTTCTGCTGAAATCGATATATTAAATATATGTCTTCTTGCCCACCTTGGTCATGTTTTAAAGACAAATCTTCTCAGAAATCCATAATTTTGAAAATGGCTGTCCAATATTTCCTTATCATATTTCAACAATTTATCAAATGTGTCAATTTTGCTGACGTTTATGTTTGTCTTTTAATAGTAGATTTTCTTGAAGGTTTTTTTCAGAGATTTTTGTTGTTGCTTTGTTGCACTTCTCAATGTCATGAAGTTTCTTCGATATCTTTCCTGGTTGGATGTTTGTGAGTTTGAACTCCACTAACAGATTGAACAAATATTATTTTCTTTTAGGGGTCCAAGGTTTCATGAAAGGGGTCCAAGGTTTCATGAAAGGGGTCCAACTTGTTTCACTGTAGGAATCGTTCTTGTTTCGCTGTAGGAAGCCATCTTGGTTCACTATATGGAGCCATCTTGGTTCACTGTAGGGAGCCATCTTGGTTCACTGTAGGGAGCCATCTTGTTTCACTGTAGGAATCCATCTGGTTTCTCTGTAGGAATCCATCTTGTGTCACTGTAGGGATGCATCTGGTTTCGCTGTAGCCCTGCTTCCTTCACAAGACCACTGTTAAGCATAGGGAAGACTTTGTTAAAGCGCCACTCATTTTTGAAGGGGTGGTCAAGACGTTCAGTGGTCAGTTTATCATGCAGCAGATCAAGTTCCCACCATGGATGCAAGTTGTTTATATGAATTTATGTGTTACTTGAGTTCATAAAACTCTCTCCTATTAAAGACAACCTTGTTCTCGTTGCAGGCAAGCCTTCACTTTTCCTCAGTTTGGTGTGCCCAGCATTCCAATGGGGACATACCCCCCCTCACAAGACTACGGTTACTATTCCAAGTTCAGTAGCGCGAGTCATAGAATGAAGAAACAGCTGAAGCAGAGATGCACATGGAAGTGCACCGCTCTCATCCTTCTCATCATGTGTGTGGCCTTACTGGCGTGTACCGTATACTTCGCAGGTAAGTCTCGATCCTCATTCTCACTTGTTTGTTTGTTTGTTGTTTAACTTCACTCTCAGCAATGTTCCCACTATATGAACAACAATCAAGTCTGGACCAGTTATTAACATCATGAGCATCAATCCACACTTTTGGGACAAGATCACATGCATCAACCAAGTCAAGAGAGCCTGACCACCCAATCCTGTTGCTCTCCTCTTACGACAAACATCGTCGCCTCTTATGACAAACCTGGCTTGCGAAAGACCCAGTCTACACCAAATTGAGTCCCCACAAAGTTGATACCAATGTGTAATGCCTCGTCCAGACCTATGACTGGATGTAAATATTTTATGATCAGGGCTATCGTGAATTTGAACTCCAATCAGCACCACGTGGCTGAAGGACCCAGCTTAGACCTCTGATCCACCTGTGCCCCATTTCAGCATTAGTGCAATTCTGGTTAATTTTATTTAGGTTCATTCTTTCATTTTGGACACATACCTTTAAATTTGGCCAAATAATACTATAAACCAAGCAATCAAACCTTGTGCCCTTTCCATCTTAAAAACCGTCTATTACAAAAGCTTTTGGAATCCCTATTGAGTGCCTAGCAAATCGTTATCTGATCCCGGATAGTAATGTTAGGACTTTGTGACAGGGATTTAACCTTCTGTGCTTGCACTGTAAGCAGTGAATAAAGACTATAGCCATGATAAGAACCCATAGAATGATGGGATACATTGATCTGCCTATGTTGACAATGGCGTCTATAACAAATGTCGGTGGTACTGACAGGACCTGTCGCAATCAGGAAGTGATCATGAGAATGTTCATTTCGCCAGTCATGAAATCCACAAGTAGGTGACAGAATTCATTTCACCTCTTAATCATACAGGCGATGGAAAAAAAGACATCCATTTATCAAGAGCAGTGAGTTTGCATCAATTTCTGAAAAATGTCAGATTTATGAATATGAGGTCAAACCAAAAAGCTCCAACCGGGAGATAAATGTGGCCCTGTAATAGGATTTTAAACCCATCTTTCAAAGCACTCCTTCCCTCCATGCCAAATTTATCTGGGTTATTTATGGATGATTTTGATTACGCACTTGTAGTCTGTTAATGTCGGGGATGAATACCATCATTATTGCAAAATTCCAGTGATGTAATCTTGTAGTCATCTTGCTCAATTTTTCCTTGCATTTTTCCCTTTGATTGGAATTGCTTGCACCTTGCTTTGATTATTTTTTTCATCATGACATATCTCCCTAACACAACGCAATCACTCTGAGATATATGTATGTTGATTTCATCAAAGGCTTCCCTAAAATATTGATATTTCAACTACATAGCGTAACAGTTAGTTTTCATGTCAGTGATTTTAAAAAAATCAATGAAAAAAAAAAAATCCCAACTGAAATATTTCTTCATAAGTAGAAAAGTTTAAACGCTTGGCTATAAATGTTATTTTGAAACCATTGCTATTGTCCAACTATGTTTATATGGTGGATTCCTTTTACTTCAAAGTTTCACAAAGACATCTAATCTCTGAAATGAAAATATTTTACAGGAAAAAACAGTTGTTAAATTATCTTTATAAAATATTTTAAAAAGGAGCCAAGAAACTCTCTTCATTATCAGACTGAAACTGTCGTGATCTAGACTTGCCAACTATCATGGATCTGCTTGGGATAATTTGTGTTGGTTTTTCTTTCAGGGTTTGTATGATAGACTAAATTTCACCGTATAACATAAATAATCCTTTTTAAGAAATAATGGAGCTGTATACAAGGTAGATTTAGAATGTATATAAGGCATGCTTTACAGTCGTTAAAAACTGTTAACCTTCAGGGCATTGGATGTTAATAAGATAAAAACCCCATGGGATAATTATGATGATGTCATCAGAATCATATGATTGCCAGGGCAACTGTGGAGAACACAGGTTCTGAAGTTTAATCAGCACTGAGACCTTAAGTCTGGCTTCTGATGATAAGAAATTAGCATGGTGTAATTAATTATGAAACTTAAGGAAGGTTGGTCTCTTTAGACCATGCCACATATTGATGCAATTATTGGCCTCAAGTTTCCTTTAATGCAGAGCAAGTTTTGTAATTTTTGAAGAAAATAAATCTTAGTCATATGTTTCTTCCATATTGTGATTATGAAAAGGGTGTTAACAGTTTAGATCAGTTTAAGGATTTCATTCTAAAAACTACAAAAATAACTATTTCCTCATCTTGGTTCTTAAAGTGATCTTTGAAGTCAGATTAGAAATGACACAAACATCATTCAGTTGGTGAAGCTGTTTGAGCTATTGCTTTTTTCTGGAAGTGACTGAGACTAGTTGAGACTGAGACTTGAATAGTTTGTATGTCTGAAATGCAACACAATTAACTGTCTCTGCATGCAAGTGTTATTGGATAATTCACAGTTCATCCTGTTACAGACTGACCGTTGGATATTTATTCTTTTTAAACTATGAGCCTAAATATTTATTTTTTAAAAAGCATCTTGCAACAAAGTATTTTTTATGTGGCAGACAGTTACTTCTTTTTTCAACAGTCTGAAGCATAAACATTTTTTTCAAGTATTTTCTGGTACAATTAATTTGTTTTCAATAAAATAAATAATGAATTGTCCAATTGATGCATGTAATTGACAGATTGCTGGGGTTAGGGGTTAAGTGAGGATGTGAATGTTTGGGTGAGGATAAACCTCTCAAAGGTCTTTGAGTCTTGTAACTAACATATCCTTTAAGTGGTACAAGACATGCCAACACTATATCCAGATAGTTTCCTCTTTCAAAGAGGGTCAGTGGGGGAGACTAGTGGTTCATGACACAACCCTGTTTGATTCCCGACATGGGTGCAGAATGTGACACCCATTCTTGATGTCCCCTGTGAAGATATTGGTTGAACAGTGGTAAAAGCATTGTAAGACAATACTCTCATAAGTAAGTATGGAAACATTCCTGGGGATGAAGAGCACCAAGGCTATTCAGCATAAAGAAGTAATTAATCACTCCTATCCACAACAATCTGTTCACATTAGGTATAATATAGACATTACTATGTTTGCTGCTCTCCTAACTGAGAATGTAAGTAATAATGGATATCGGTAATGGCTACTTAACAGTCTATGTTGATGTTAATGACTTTGGTATTATTACATGAGACACATTAAGCTTGGTAGAGATGATCTGGGTAGCAGAATGTGGGTTTGTGAGACTGGTTGGAGGGAACCTCGATGACTGTAGTGTGAATGTCATTCAAGACATTAGTAGTGATATTGTTAAGATGAGGACTGTTGTTGCTGTACATCAATGTCTTAGTATGTCAAGAGCTCCTAAGACTGCAGACTAACACTTAGTCAGTGAAAACATGTCTTTAAAATTTTTATTTTTTTCTTCGAAAGAACCTTTCCTCTTCTGCTACAAGCAAACTAGACTTGGTTAGTTTGATCTAGACTTTCCTAGGCTTTTAGTAAAAAAAAATACCTAAAAAATATAAATTCCACTGTCATATGGTGCAGGACTACTAAGATTGATGTCTACTTGCTTGTGTTCCATGTATATTAGAATCTGTAGCAGATCCTGATGGCAGAAGGTGGGTTGGGGTACCAGTGGCTTTCCAGGAGATTGGAACATTTCAAGTTTTAGAACTAATATGCCCCTCAAAACAAGTTTGTTTGTTGTTAAACACCGCACTCAGCAATATTCCATCTATATGACGGCAATTTGTAAATAATCGAGCCTGGACAAGACAGTCCAGTGATTGACATCATGAACATCGATACATGCAATTGGGATCGTTGACATGCTTCAACCAAGTCAGCAAACCTGACCACCCGATCCTGTTAGTTGCCTCTTACGAGAAGCATAGTTGCCTCTTACGAGAAGCATATTTGCCTTTTACGGCAAGCACAGGTTGCTGAAGACCTATTCTACCCCGTATCTTTACGGGTCCTTAAAACATGTAAACGAACACCCGATTCTTTTATGTGACTATAGTTAAATTATCATCTGTTCCTTCACTTCTGTTGAGTAATATATGTGTTTATGTATCGTAAGCAGCATGTGTTTCACAGATGATGGAGTGTGATTTAACAGCATCTGCCAACATTAAATTGAAGATTTTGTGATATGTACAAGATATAATTTTCCAGTTGAGGGATTCATGTCACTGTATTTCTATCACATGTTCTCAAAGCTCAGTCTTTCTATTAACCTTGATCAGTCTGCTTGTTTCCTTTTTCAATTGTAGATGTTGGATTTAATTTGCAAAATCTTATTTTGGCACATGCACTTCATATGTTACAGGTTCAGTTAGCGCCTTCAGTCTTGTTAGGGATTTCATATGTTCTGAGACAATTGAAATTCTGGGTGCTCAGATGTGAGATTTGAGGAAGATAGAGTTTGGTTGCATGTGGCTTTGCTTACCATGGTGTATGTTTCACCATTACACTTATGACATTAATCTTGTACATGTGACTGGGTTGCTGGTTGCGTAAATTGCTTGTTGATTTCATATGTCTGCATGAAATTGAAATTTCAAGATGTCCCAAAATAATATTTTCTTGTTAGTGGGTCACTTACCTTGAGGAAGTAGAAAATTCAAGATGTCCCGAAATAATATTATTTCTTGTGGGTCAGTACCTTGATATAGATGAAATTGGACTGAAACAGAAATAGTTAGGTTCCTTGTGAGCTTCGTTTCCTTGATATACATTTCATTGGCTGGAATCACTGGCAGTCAGTTGATCTGGCTCATCGCTTGTTGCCTGCGTCCCTGTGTATTCAATACAAGACCAAATGAGTGTTAAGGCCCCGGTGGTGCTGTGTGAACAGTAACTGCCAGCTAAATCGCCTTTTGATCCTGCCTTGATGAATGTTTTCATGTCTTATTAGCCCCACTCTCTTTCCAATACAGCTTTGAAATACACAATTGATAGTGTTGTCTGTGAGGCGCAATAGCAGTGGGCAGCCCACTTTACCATTGGGTAGATAGACTGGGCAGA